AAAACTCTTCCCTCATAACACCAAGAAAGGCTGGCTCCAAATTCTTTTAGTTGCATTGCTCAGCTCCCAATAAACTAAATGGACTCATCAGGGATCAAAACCAAAGAGAGAACAGAGAACTAGACCAAGTAAGAATCAGAGATGACAATGAACTGCCAGTGAAGGATTTGAGTAACAAAGAGGCTTGGGTTTTAAGGCCGAGCCCATATTATTGGTGCAAGAGTAGACAAATAGACCAAACCAAATAGAGCTGCCAAACTGACCCATGAATGTAAAGAAAGTTCAAATATGACAGAGGAAGAAATTAAACTCTTCAACATTTGGTGCTAAGACAATTGATTATGATATAGAAGAAGTAATATCAGATCCTTACTTTACATCACTCACAAAAATAAATTCCTTGTAAATTAAAAAACCATATGTCAAAAATGATTTAAAAGCTTTGAATTTTTAGGAGCAAATACAAGATAATGTTTTTATATCACAGAGTAGGATTTATTAAACAAGAAAGAAAAAGGCACAAAAATGAAACAGTTTATATTTTTGCTACATTAAAATTTAAAATCTTTATACAACACTTTCATTAAGAAAGTGAAACCAAAAAAAGTGAAATGGCATGTCAGAGACTTGGAGAAGATACTTAGTAAATAAAAGGCTAATATCTAGAGTATATAAAGAACAATTAAAATCACTAGGTGAAAGAAAATATAACCCAATAGAACAGAAGTGTAAAGGATATAGACAGGCAATTTACAGAAGAGGAAACCCAAATAGCAAATAAATATGTAATGAGGAAAATGTGGTAATTAGGAAAATATAGATTAAAATAAAAGTGAGAGACTTCCACATCCGGCCATGAAGGATTAGCTATTATGGGACTCTCCCTTCCAATGTAACAACTAGAAAACTAGATGAAATAAATGAAATAATTGTTTTCTGACATTGGACAACAGGCAAGAGAACACTGGGATTCTTGAGAGGATGTAAACAATTCAGGTGTGCCCTGTAACTGCCCCTTGTTACCTGTAGGCAATTTCCAAGCTGCAGCACAGGGAAAGGGGACCCAAACACAGTACAAAAGCCTCACTGAGTTGGAGTTTGAGACTGGAGGTCAGCAGGCTGAGGATGGTAGGATTTTCAGAGCAGAGTACTGGAGAAAATGGAGCTTCACAGAGAGAGAAGCTCACAGATATGCAGAGGGAATCCTTTGAATCTTTGAGTGCAGATAAGTGCACACATGGAATAAAGCTCCACAGCTTTAACCAGTTTCCAAACAGTTCGGTTTTCCAACCAGAAACCAAACAGTTTCCCTGAACCTCACTCAGAGACTGGAATAGCTTGTGTTCCCACCAGCCAATGTGGACAGACCTTAATACTTAAGGAACTGGTAGATTCCTCAGAATGGTCATATCTTAGTAGTGATACTACTAACTTATCCCTAGAGTAAATTAGCCCTATACCCACACAACAAAAATTAAAAGCAAGCCTTGAAAGGATTGAAATGAACTCAAGTAACTTAACTGCTTGCCACTTGGGAAAAAACAAAACTGTCAGAAAAAAGCCAACATTTTAAAAAGGAATTTAACAAAATATAGCACTCAACATTATGTCTGTCATCCAATAAAGATTTTTTCAGGGCCGGCTCCGTGGCTTAGCGGTTAAGTGCGCGCGCTCTGATGCTGGCGGCCCGGGTTCGGATCCTGGGCGCGCCCCAAGGCACCACTTCTCCGTCCAGCGCGAGGCCGAGTCCCACGTACAGCAACTAGAAGGATGTGAACCTATGACATACAACTATCTGCTGGGGCTTTGGGGGGAAGAAAATGAATAAATAAAATCTTTAAAAAAAAAAAAAAAAAGATTTTTTCAGGCATACAAAGAATCAGAAAAACATGACCCATAACCAGCAGAAAAAGCAATCAATAGAAACAAACAGATAAATGACCAAGATGATGGTATTAGCAGACAAAGATCTTAAAAGAGCTATTATATAATCTTATAAATATGCTTAAAGATGTAAAGGAAACTAAGCATGATTAGAAGAGAAATGGATGATATAAAAAGACTCAAGTGGAAGTTTTAGAGATGAAAAACACAATATCTCAAATGAAAACTACACTGGACGAACAATCAGCAGATTAGATGTCAAAGAAGAAAAGACTGAGGAACTTAAAGACACAGCAATAGAAACTATCTTAACAAGAAAAGACTACAAAAAATATGAACAGGGCATCAGTGACTTATGGAACAATATCAAGCAAATACGCATGTAATTGATATTTCAGAAGGAGACAAGGAGGTGTACAGAAAAAAATTTGGAGCAACAATGACTGAAATTTTTCAAATTCAGTAACAAAATCCTCTGATGTAAGAAGCTCAACAAACCACAAGCTGAATAAACAAAGAAAATGGCACCAAAGCACATCATGATGCGATGGCTAAAAACAATGACAAATAGACCATCTTAAAGTCAGCTAAAGGAAAAAGTCTGTTATATTTAAAGGAACAAAGACAAGAAATACAAGAGACTTTTCATCAGAAACTATGCAAGTTAGAGGCAATGGGGAGACATCTTTAATAGATCAAAAAAAAAACACTGTCAACCTAGAATTCTGTATCAAGCAAAAATATCTATCAAAAGGGAAGATAAAATAAAGGATTTTTACAAGAAAAAAAAACTGGGAGAAATAGTCCATAACATATGTGCACTATAAGAAATATTAGAAGTGCTATAGGCAAAAGGAAAATGACACCAGATGGAAAATTTAATCTACACGAAGGAATAAAGAGGACCAGAAATGGTGAATATCTGGGTATAGATAAGAAATCTTTTCCTTATTTTTTTTTCTGTTGGCCAAGAAAATTTTATTGGATTTTGTTTTCTGTGGTTTGTCTCAAAAACAAGTCTTTTTTAAAATGTAAAATTATTGTATTAAAATAGGCATTTAAAATACCATAGTCATCTATTCCCTTAGAGATTTTGATATTAACTCCCCTCCAGGAACTCCTTAACTCCCCCAGGAATTTAAGTGTTAGAGTAACTGGATGGACTGTACAAACTATCCTGCAGACAGTTCTCCACAAACATTGTTTTATGTGGAGCTTTTGGGCAGCAGTGAATCTGAGATTACATTTCCTGGCAACTATCTGAAATACAGATCCTCTGAGTTATTGATTAAATCGGAACCATTATTCAGTGAAGCTGTGTTAAGGTTCACCCTCTTTTGTGAAAATCAGAATGCCTAGCAAGAACAGGGCATTCCTTTAATTTGAGATGAGCCAAGGGAGTACCCATGGGTAAAGCCAAGATTTTCTAGAAAATAATTTTTTTTTTTTTGTGAGGAAGACCAGCCCTGAGCTAACATCCGATGCCAATCCTCCTCTTTTTTTATTTTTTTTCTGCTGAGGAAGACTGGCCCTGGGCTAACATCTGTGCCCATCTTCCTCTACTTTATATGGGATGCCGCCACAGCATGGCTTAATAGGCGGTGCGTCGGTGTGCGCCTGGGATCCAAACCGGCGAACCTCGGGCCACCGCAGCTGAGTGTGTGCACTTAACCGTTTGCACCACCGGGCCAGCCCCTCCAGAAAATAATTTTAATTATAGGATTAGTTTTCTATTACTGCATAACAAATTGCCAGAGTTAGCAGCTCTAAATAGCACAGATTTATGATCTCACAGTTTCCATGGATCAGGAGTCTGGCACAGTTCAAGCTAAGTCCTCTGCTCAGGGTCTCACTAGGCTGCAAATCAAAATGTTGGCCAGGGCTGAGGTGTCAATGAGCTCATTTTTAAATCTCTTTAAAAGATAATTGTCTATTCAATGCAAAAGTAATAACAATGTATTTTGAGGTTTATAATATATGTAGAAGTCAATGTATGACAACAATGGCACAAAGGATGGGAGAGGAGGAATAGAAATGTACTCTTTTTATTTTGCAAAGAAATTTGGTAAAATTATATGTCTATATACCTTACAATCCAGCAATTACACACCCAGGCATATACCCTGAGAAACTCGCCCTTGTTTGCAAAATGATACATGAAGGAAAATCTTTATTGCAGTATTGTTTGTAAATAGTGAGAAATTTACAAACTAAATTGAAAGGACTCAAATAAAATTACAAATGAAAGAAGAGACATTAAAACTGATAACATAGAAATACTAAGGATTGTTAGAAACTACTATGAACAATTATATGCCAACAAATTAGATAACCTAGGAGAAATGGATAAATTCCTAGAAACATACCACCTACCAAGACTGAATAATGAAGAAACAGGAAATCTGAACAGACCAATTACTAATAAAGAGATTGAATCAGTAATCAAAAACCTCCCAACAATGAAAAGTCCATGATCAGGTGGTTTCACTGATGAATTCTACCAAACATGTAAAGAATTAATACCAACCCTTCTCAAAATCTTCCCAAAAATTGAATAGGAGGAAACACTTCCAACCTCATTTAATGAAGCCAGCATTACCCTGATACCAAAGCCAGACAAGGGTACTACAAGAAAAGAAAATTATAGCCAATATCTCTGTGGAACATACATGCAAAAATCCTTAACAAAATATTAGCAAACCAAATTCAACAATACATTAAAAGGATCATACACCAGGGTCAAGTGGGATTCATTCCAGGGATGCAAGGATGGTAGAACATATGTGAGTCAATAAATGTGATACACCACATTAACAAAATGAAGGATAAAAATCATATGATAATCTCAACAGATGCAGAAAAGGCATTTGACAAAATTCAACATCTTTCGTGATAAAAACTCTAAACAAAGTACATCATTGTGTTTCCAGCACAGTGCTGCACATAGTAGGCACTCAATAAATATTTATTGAATAAATTAATGAGATTTTTTTTTCCAAGAAGGTTCTTTTAGAATATCAGGTCAGTTAGGATGCTTTTGATGCAGCAAACAGAAAATCAAACACAAATTGGTTTATAGTAGAAAGGAAAAGAGGTAGAGGGTTCTTATCACTGACCAGTCTAGGATGAATCTGGCTTCAGGTGAGGCTTGATTCAGAGCTCAAGCAAGGATCTGATTCTTAATCTTCACTTCTCAACTCTATTCCCTCAGTGTAGGCTCCATTTTCAGGGCGGTTTCTCCTCGTTCAGTACTAGAAACAGAAACCACTGTTAAGTATGTCAAGCAGAAAGATTTAGTAGGAAATGAACACATAATTGTTAGAAGGGATGGCAGAATGGAAATCAGGAGACTTCCAGTGTAGCTGCCATCCAAAGTTCAGGACCCTGCCACTGCCACTGCTGCCATCACTGCTGCCACCACAGATGCCCCATACCCTTGGAGAACTGACAAGGGTAGCTGGAGTCCTGCTCCTGCAAACACCCCTGGGCCTGGGAGCTTGCCTGTCAGCCCGTTCTGTCACAGAAAGATGGCCTTCTTTTCCTTTCTGTCTTCCAAATCTTGCACCACTGCTCATCAGTCATTGGCAGAATTCAAATTATATCTCGAATTTTAACTCCCTAGAAATCTGGAAAATGTGGTTTTAACCTTCCACACATTATAACCCAGGAGATGAGGAGACATAGAAGGGAGTGAGAATGGAAACTAAATAAAAATTAACAGTATCTAATATAGTCCACCTCTTTTACCAATAATCTTTCAAGCAAATGACAAAACTATTCTCCCACCTAATGAAGCTGTTCCCTCCTTCAAATGAAAACATGCTTATCCTATCCCCTAAATCTCGATACTCATTTCTACATGATGTCCCTTCCTCTTCTATTTTAGTCACAATCCCATCTTCAAACACTCTTACCTAAAGACTATCTTATAAAATGAACCACCATCAGCAAATCTCATGTAAAAGGAAAGGAAAAAACAATTAAAAGAAGTTCATTAATACATACATTTCTTCAACTGGTCATGAGACCATAGTCGGTTATAACTTCCTTATTTATTGTTCCCTTTGCCCTCACACACCTGCCCAGCTGGTAGAGTGACACAAACCTTCAATCCTGAAGCATCTGAGCCCTTAACAGTCTGGCCTGTGTTGGAAGCTGTAGATTTCCACTAACATTTATCATTGAACATGGAATTACTAAAAAGAACCTCAGAGAAACCCCTGGTTTGAAGACATGCTCGTCCCTGACAGCACTGTGGCTGCATCACTATTTTCTCTTGGTAATTCGTATCAGTCAGCCCAGCCAGTTTGGTAACCCCCTTATTTTCCTTTTTTTTTTTTTTTAAATTATTT